ATTTTCTAAAGAAAATTTATTTTTATTTATAATATTGGGGTTCCCAGGTGGTGCTAGTGGTAAAGAACCTGCCTGCCAGTGCAAGTATTTGGCTATGTCAGATCTTAGTTGCAGCATGCAGGATCATCAATCTTGGTTGGTTCATGTAGCATATGAACTCTTAGTTGGGGCACGTGGGATCCAGTTCCCTGACCAGGAATAGAACCTGGGCCCCCTGCACTGGGAGCTCAGAGTCTTAGCCACTGGGCCACCAGAGAAGTCCCCTAAAATGTTATTTAAATCTATGTTAAAATGATTTTGGTTTCAGGATTAAGTTATTCCTTGGCTTAACTGCATGATTGCTTTTTGTGGGTTTTTTTTTTTTTTTTTTTCATTTTGCTTTAGAGGTGTGTGATGAGCATCTGGTCCCATCATTTCATGGCAAATATATGGAGAAACAGTGGAAACAGTGGCAGACTTTATTTTTCTTTGGCTCCAAAATCACTGCAGATGGAGACTGCAGCCATGAAATTAAAAGATGCTTACTCCTTGGAAGGAAAGTTATAACCAACCTAGATAGCATATTAAAAAGCAGAGACATTACTTTGCCAACAAAGGTCTGTCTAGTCAAGGTTATGGTTTTTCCAGTGGTCATGTATGGATGTGAGAGTTGGACCATAAAGAAAGCTGAGTGCCGAAGAATTGATGCTTTTGAAATGTGGTTTTGGAGAAAACTCTTGAGAGTCCCTTGGATTGCAAGGAGATCCAACCAGTCCATCCTAAAGGAAATCATCCCTGAATGTTCACTGGAAGGACTGATGCTGAAGCTGAAACTCCAGTACTTTGGCCATCTGATGCGAAGATCTGACTCATCTGAAAAAACCCTAATGCTGGGAAAGATTGAGGGCAGGAGGTAAAGGGGACGACAGAGGATGAGACGGTTGGATGGCATCACCGACTCAATGGACATGAATTTGAGTAATCTCCAGGAGTTGGTGATGGACAAGGAGGCCTGGCGTGCTGCAGTCCATGGGGTCTCAAAGAGTCGGACACAACTGAGCGACTGAGCTGCTGAGTTGATGAGGAAAAATAAACTAACTGGGACAAACTTTACTCCATGTTGCTTTAGAGGAGTGTAGGAGGAATTCCTATGTGGAACACCGGTTCCTATGTTCATCTCATATCCATCTTCACTGTCAAAGAAATACATGATCTCTCTTCCTAGCTATTTCTCTGCCCTGCGAGACTCCTACACAAGGCATGTCACACACCATTTCCCCTGGGTCATGTCAGAGCTGGAAGGAAGTAGCGTGTGAATAAGAGTGCCATCTGCAGTAAACACAGCTAACACCTCTATCAGCCCAGATCACTTCCTGGGTGCTGCCCGCGGGGGAGCTGTGTCCGTGCTTTCTCCTTATCCTAGGCTCTGTTTATATCACCTGTTCAAAGACACTGCCAGAGCCAGCTCTCCTCCCCATTCAGATGCTAATCCAGCACAAAAAAGAAAATGAGCCTTACTTAAAATGAACCACAGCTAAGGAGGCTTGTTAAACAAAGCAAAAAGCACTTTGAAAAAATAGTAATTGGTAGAGAGGAAAGAAATGTTCAGTTTCTATTTTTTTTTTTCCTGCTTGGCAGAGGACTGTCTATGTAATAAGGACGAAATGGATTTTAGAGGGTAAGGACCCAACAATGCTTGAGAGGCTGGCTGGGGGAACAGCCTCTAAGGCAGAGCCATTCAACTGCCTTCAGTCACTTCCTATTTTTAATATTAAAGGAATATGGAGAGAAACAGGACAGAACATAGCGTTCTGGGAAACCAGTAATCAAATGGCCTAAAGCTAATGTTTACTTTTTGGAATGTTTTACGAAGGCAATACTTGGAGATGTAGAAAAGAGAGAGAGCACCTAATAATAGCCTTTCAGTGGCGGAAATAGAAAGGCAGCACAGACATGATAATTGAATTTGGTTTGGATGGTCAAAATCTGTGTGATCCTACAGCTGTATTTTCTAAACCATCCGCTTGACTTTTAATACATGTTCTACATTTTGTTTCCTTTGCCCATTGCTGCATTTGAAAATTGCTAATTACCTTAAAGGCTGTTCAGTTTTCCTGTGCTACTCTTTTTTCTCTTTCCCTCTTACAAACAGAGATGCTTTGCCTTCGTGAATCCTCAGTCCTCAGTTCTCTTACCTAGCCCTCAAAGCAGGTCAACAGGGGATTTGGGTCAAAGCAGATCCTGAAATTATTTTTGTGGGGAAAAAATATGAGAGAAAAATCAAAAAGTCCAGCTCTATCCCCCCAAAACACGGCTTGATGCCTACTTGCGCATCGCCCTGGTGCACACAACAGGCAAACAAAGGGATGGGAGAGTTTTTGCTGCACTTACTTCAAGACAAGGTATCATTTGAGCCATGAAAAGTCATAACTTCCAAAGTAGTAATATAGTTCTGCTTATATATTTCGAGTCCTTATTCTGTTTTGTATAAACATTTATGTCCCTAAACCCTTTTTGAAATCTTCCAAAAGGAGAATCTCCCTGGGTTCCAGTATATGTTTATTTGACCTTGGGTTGTCATTAAGAGCAGTGCCATGTCCGTGCTATAAATTAATATCACTCTCTAATGTTTGTATTACAAGTTCTGGACATCCGGGAGTGCTTAGGATGACTCTGGAATTTGAGCAGTAGTCCCATATATGTGGACTTGCATTGACTTGCAATATTAAGAAAATAAAAGATTATAGTTGGGCTCAGAAAAATGATTAGACTGTGTGTGTCTCCTTTACTCTTTGTTTCTTGTTAACCCAGATTAATAACCTTTGACATCTGAATGAAATGTTCATAAAGTATTTCCAAATATCTTCCCCCATTTGAATGAATCCCAGTGAATCAGAGCACTGTCTTCACAGACTCCCGAAGCTCAGGTGGAGGTACTGAGCTGCTCAGGGTAAAATTACTAATAAGAGGTAGAGCTGGGGCACAGTGCCATGTGTTCACCAACACTTATTGAGCACCCATTATGTGCCAGGTATGATATTCGGTGCTGAAAATACAACCCAATTCTGGCCCTCAGGGAGTCTGTCATCCAGTGGAGATGACAGATATACACTAAAACTAAACAATTATTTAATTGCAGTTGTGAAATATACTATGAAGGGAAAGTATAGTGAACAATAAGGGTATAGAACAGGAGACCTGTAGTACTTAGTTAATTGCAAAAACAGGATCTACTCTACATAGCTTAAGAAGAAAAGAATTTTTCGAGGATAGTTAGAAATTTACAGAAACTTCAGAAGGGACAAGTAAACAACCTAGGATAGAACCATCAGGAATTAGAGCAGCCAGAAGAACCACCCAAACTCCTCTAGATGGCTCTAGTAGAAATCTCACTGCTGCCTCCTTTTGTTACTCATCACAAGGTTCCTATGATGTTACAGAAACTCAAACCCCGACAGAACTTTAACTACAAAAGGACCCAGTGTCTCTGCAGTTGTGCTTGCCAGAAGAGCTAAGAAGCCCAGTGCCCTTCATCTGCCCTTCCCTAGCCCCCTGCCAGCACTGCTTTTCATGGCTCATTTCTTCTGCCAAGTCTATTGCTAATGCTTCTACTTGGCAGAACACAGATCGTGTCCAGATCTTATTGCAAGAGCTTAGAAAGTATACTTTAATTTGTTTAGCTTTCTAATACTTGTAACATTTCTAACATTACCATGATTCCAAAACCAGGAAAAGAAACTACAAAAAGATAAAATTACAGGTCAATATATCTGATAAATATAGATGCAAAAATTCTCAACAAAATATCTGCAACTGAATTCAACAATATATAAAAAGGATCATAAAGCGTGACCAAATGGGACTTACTCCAGGGAAGCAAGGATGGTTTAATATTCATGAATCAATTAATGTGATATACCACATTAACAAAAGGAAGGATAAAAATTACATTATTATCTCAATAGATACATAAAAAGCATTTGACAAAATTCAACACCTGTTGATGATAAAAAACTCTCATCAAAGTTGGTATAGAGAGAACATATATCAACATAATAAAAGCCATTTATGACAAACACCCAGCTAACATCTTACTCCTTACCTTGTTTCTAATTTTAGAGGAAAGACTTTCAACTTTTCACCATTGAGTATCACAGCTGGGAAATTAAACTGCCAGATGTGGAAATCAGTCCCTAGATTTCCCTCAGCATGCAGCTCTCTAAGATAGTTGGTCGAACTAAATTTTAGAATAACACATTTTCTCTGAAGAGTCTAGCAACGAATTTAAAGATTATTGATACCATAAGATTACAAAACCTATGAGGAAGAGTGGAAAGACCAATGACATAAGACTCTGAGGATCTGGGTCACTCTCATGGTTAGAATCAACTGACAGTTTCCCACTAATTTTAGGGAGCAATTCAAATTACTTAATCTGTTCCCAAAGTCCGTTTTGACCCCTGTCTACCTCCGTTGATACACTGGCTACACTGGGCTTTTTTCAGTAACTTTAATGCGTGAAGTTCTACCCTGCAGTGGGACCTTCCGACAGACTATCTCCAGCACATGAAAAGTTTTTTCCTCCAGTCCTTTCTCCCTTCACCTACCTACCTCAAATTCCCCCACATCCTTCCCATGTGAGCTGAACTCAAGTCTTGGCAAAGCCAACCAAACCTCCAGACTAGATTAGGGTTTTAAAGCAGTATGGTGGGTTGACTGCCTAACAACTCCCCAAACCCCACTAGAATTAGGGGTCTTTCCTATCTATACATTTATAATCTTACTCACCTTTTAAAGAATCATGGTATATGTTAATACTGGGAGAAAATCTACAACAAAACGAGAAAAACAAACAGCAGCAGCAAACATGAACTCTGAAGTGAAGCCGCTCAGTCGTGTCCGACCCTCTGCGACCCCATGGACTGTAGCCCTCCAGGCTCCTCCATCCGTGGGACTCTCCAGGCAAGAATACTGGAGTGGGTTGCTGACTTAGCAAGCATGTATGCATACATTCCATATTTAACAACATTCTTCATCACAATATTCTCTGTCAGAGTAAATGCAAATGCTTCTTCCTCTGATGTATACCCTTCTTTTCTCTTTCTCCCTGTCTCCCTACCCTCAACCCATGGAGTTTAGAAACAACTCACTGGGCACTGTTGTAATAAACAGCCTCTTTTTGGGAGCTGTAGACCTCTCTGGGAATGGCTTTCAGGGGTCCCCTCTCCTCTGGCAACTACTCCTAAAAGATAGGAGTTGACACCCAGCTACCATGTCTATATTCTGTCCCTGTTTTGGCTCCTGGCCTCACAATCAGTCAGGGCTGCTGGTAGACCCAACAGATTTTTTTCTCTCCCTGGGGCCAGAGAGACATGCCTTAGAACAGAAGACTTGAGTCATCTAGATATCAAAGCCAGGGAGAGAAGGCTTATGGGCTTTGTCCTTCCCCAAATTGTTTTACATGGTTTGGTGACTTCAGCTTTCTTTTGCATTCAATAGATTATCCTAGCCCTTCAAGTAAGTTCCCTTTCAGTTTTTGTTTAGTCAGTTTTTGTTACTTGCATCCCAGGGAACTTGAACTAGTATAAGATACCCAATATCTTATCTGCCTGCTGGCATTGTACCATGGCAAAGTGGAGCAAATATTAATCAAATTCCCCAGATTTCTGGAGAAAAGTACTACAGATTTGAGGATCCATTCCAATTTGCCAGGAGATTAAGCACAAAATTGGATTCATGCTCGGTCCTTCCCACTAGCTCACTTTAAGTTACTTATTCCTTCACCCACTTTCCTCTGGCTTCTAAGGGGCTTGTGGAGGTTTTAGTTTAACTCCACCTGGGAAGAGATTTTATTTTCACTTAGCTCTCTTCTATAAGTAGAATGGACTTATCTAGTTATTTTTTTTCTTATAATACTTCTTTTCTAACTTTTTAGCCATTTCCAACTTCTCTGAAATTCTCCTCCAGGCACTTCACATCACACTAAACACTTTAGGAAGTGACTTAGTCATGTAGAGATGTGATGGAGTTCTCTAGTATGGAGTCCAAGAAAGATCTTAATTTTATCTCAACATCTGGATAGGCGCATTTAACTAAACTATGCATTTTGGAATGGTTCCAAAGCACCTGAGGGTAGTTGCAGTACCTTCGAGGTTTGCAGTAATGCAAAGATTTATATGCAGCATTTACCCCATGCTGGTTCGGAGTGTTATTCTTTTTCATCATTTGATTTATATACCTGCTCAAAGTTTTTTCAGTTGTAGGTGAGATCTCTGTGTCAGCCTCTGAACAGAAGCCGCCTGGAAGACACATCTCGTCTTCCACAGCCCTGCAGTATCCAGCACAAAGCCAAGCATAGAACTAGGTGCTAAGAAACTATCTCCAAAACAGTCATTGTACTTGCAAAGCCCAAAACATAGCAGCCAAGTACCACTACCCAAGGGTCCTGATGCATTCTATTATCAAATATCTTGGTATTTCACAGTTCTCAAAAGAAAAACACACACATTCACACACTTAACTAAACGTCTTTGGATATGACCAAAGCTTTATAACGAGATACTTCAAGAAATCTAAATAATGTTGATGCAAGTTTTTCTAACTCCCATTGTAAAGCTCAGATGTGCCTTTCTGTCCTGGAATGCATCTTCTTCCTTCAGCCACTCCCAAAGCCAGGTGAAGTGGATTCATGTTTTTGGCAATGTTAGCAGATTCTGGCTGTGCATTCCCCCTTGTGCCTCTCCATCAGGTTCTCACCTTTGATCCACCACCAGAAGAAATAGTGAAAGTCTCGTAATCCAGTTAAGGAGTTCATATTTTGAAGCTGTGCGAAATGACCAATAGCATTTATTTTACATTTAAAATTTAAGTACTTACGTGGGAAGAAACTGTACGAACAGATCAAGACAAATGGTCAGGGAAATTTGGGGAAATGTTCACCCTTTAATATGAATGGAGCTCAATCATGGGATGGCTTGGATGACAGGCTTGAGCAGGTGTCATCCATACCACTCACATGCTGTCCACGTGCCAACCTGGATGCTGAGGTGGGACACTCACAGCCTTAGCTTGCAACCCTCTGTGCAAGGCTGGGAGTGCCCTGTGCCCTAAATGGGGCTTGTTCTCCTGTTGGTCTTCCTGGCTTGACCCTGAGCCCGTGAGAGACAGGGCTGTGAATTATTTGTATGGCTAGTGTCTAGCCTAGGTAGGCATTTAATAGTCATGAGCTGAATGTTGGCCTTTTCAGGTATGCTCGGCTAACTCCATCATTTAGCTTTATGTATTATTCGGAATTGGATTACTGCTGTGCCACTCAGTAAAAAGAAAACATCCTCACATGCCATGTGTGCCCCCAGAATAACTGCTCTTTTTATCCTTAGGGGCCACTGGGGACTAAGCTGCAGAAGGAGAGAGAGGATTGGACGATGAGTAACAAGCATCCCAGCTGGTGGCTCATACCTGAAAGCTGCTTGTTCATGCTCCATTAGGCTCTGGCCTTGAACTGGTGACATCTCTTTGACATTAAGGGTGGCACTGGAAAAAATGGAAAAAGGATATTCACCAAGGTTTCCAATGGAAGTGATGTAGTGAAAACAGACCTGAACTCCCAATTTAACCATTTTTAGGACAGCTGTTATATATTAGGTGCTTGCTGTGTATCAGACAAAGGGTTAATCACATTATAAGCACTGTCTCATTTAATCCTTACAAACCTCTGCAATTAGTATTATCTTTCTTTTACAGATAAACTGAGGCTAAGGAAGAGGAAGAAACTTTTCCAAGATGACCCAGTATTACATATCTGTCTCAGAGCTAGGACACAGATGTAAGAATGAACTCCAACATACATAGTTTAGCTCCTGATCCATATACATTTTATGACAAAGGAAGATCACTTAAAAGCTATGTGATGTTGGCCAGGCATTTTAACTCCTCTGAGACTTGGTTTACTGGAAAGAAATTTAGAAAAGGCAATGTCTGTCTCACAGGATTATTATGAGGTTTAAGTGAGATAATAATACATGAAGGCAGAAGCATGATCTTGGCACATAGAAGGCATTAAATAAAATATATATTTTTGGATAGCAAGGAGATCAAACCAGTCAATCTTAAAGGAAATCAACCCTGAATAATCATTAGAAGGACTGATGCTGAAGCTGAAGCTGCAATACTTTGGCCACTTGATGGAAAGAGCCGACTCATTGGAAAAGACCCTGATGTTGGGAAAGATTGAGGGCAGGAAGAGAAGAGGGTGACAGAGAATGAGATGGCTGGATGGTATCACCGACTCAACAGACATGAGTTTGAGTAAACTCTGGGAGATAATGAAGGACAGGGAAACCTGGCTGGCTGCAGTCCATGGGGTTGCAAAGAGTGGGACATGACTTGGCAACTAAACAGTGACAACAAATATTTTTTCTCTTCTTTAGTGCTGAATACACTTAGAAACTCAGAAAACTGACTGAGTAATAAATACACTGGCACAGAGACAGAGATGGTATGATGACCTTGGTCCTTGTGGAGCTGGCATGGCCATGGAGATGGCTCTTTCTAACACTTGGGACAAGGGGCTGGGGTGTGCACACAGACAAGTCAGAGGGTCTATGGCCTTCTCAGGAGTGATTTGATGATGTACCATGACTATACAGCCATCACTCCACACATGCCTCTCCCACTGACAAATCTGCCACTAGAGTAGAATGGATATGTGAAAGTGAAAGCATTGGTCCCTCAATTGTGTCTAACTCTTTGCAGCCCCATGGACTGTAGTCCAAGGCCACCAGAGTTCTCTGTCCATGGAATTCTCCAGGCAGGAATACTGCAGTGGGTAGCCATTCCCTTCTCTAGGGCATCTTCCCAACACGGTGATCGAACCGAGGTCTCCTGCACTGTGGGCAGATTCTTTACTGTCTGAGCTACTTGTATGTGTAACTAAATTCATGCTTGTGCACATGTCAGTGTGTGTGCGTGAAACAGTTTTCCATCATTATCACCAAGATTCCCTCATTGAGAATATTTGATAGATTAAATGCCAATGACTCATTACTACCTTTTGCTAAACATTANTTTGCCATGAAGTGATGGGACCAGATGCCATGATCTTTGTTTTCTAAATGATGAGTTTTAAGCCAACTTTTTCACTCTCCTCTTTCACTTTCATCAAGAGGCTCTTAAGTTCCTCTTCAATTTCTGCCATAAAGGTAATGTTATCTGCATATCTGAGGTTATTGCTATTTCTCCCAGCAATCTTGACTGGCAATCTTCCCTGGTAGAATAAGGGATTCTTATTTCTTCTGCTCCCAAGGCTCTCTGTATCTGCCTCTCTTCTAGCATCAATACTTGGTTATGTTACTGATGATACTGTGATGCTCTTATGTTGATTTCTTCTACCTACCATCATCTCTTAGAGGGCAAGGAGTCTCTTTGTTCCATTCTCTAGGGCAATACCTACAAGTACTTACAGAAATTGTTGGTTGAAAGACTAAATGGAAAAAAGATAGTTGAAAGGAGTCAATGAAATACAGTTGAAAATGTAAAGGATAAGGAATATGATCTAAGAAAACATATGGAATGAGACAAGCCAAGTGGATACATCTATTGATGTTCTTTGCTCACAGAATCTGATGACAAGAACATGCATCCTAAAGAGTTCCTCTTTACTTTGTACATAAAATGCCAAATTATAGGCCAGTCACAAAAGCAGTCATGGTTTTACAATTCAGACTCACCCTAATAAGAGGAAACAGAGTAGAGGGAAATTAAACTTTGAGCCTCTCTCTAGTTATCAGGGAAGAAAAAGGCTGAAATGCTGGTAAATACAGAGGGTCTGGGAAGAGTTGCAAGTAAGTTACATAAAGGGATCAACTTCTATTCAGAATTTCCTGAGCAATGATTAGACAAACAACTGTAATGTTTAAAGCTGTGTGAGGTATACAGGATCTAGTACTATATCCATTTATCTCCTTCCTTTCCCCAGATTCTACAACTCAATAGTAATGTTAGTTTCTGGAGAGGCCAATACCTGCAGTGAATGTGAGCTGACTCAAGTCTCTGGAGTCTTGGAAACTAATGTGGTTCATTCACACTGACTCAGAAACCCTGGCTTAAAGGTGACTCCTTAGACCCCTGGTAGGACCCTATAGAACCAAAGGGAACACAAATGGTAGACCAGATGTCCAGACGTCAATGCACACAGGCTGAGTGTGAGATTGAATGAACTTTCCTGTGGACTCTTATAAAAAAGACCAACTCTAAAAGGCAGCTCAAAGCTGAACAGATCCTAGTTTGTACACGTATCTTTGAGATATGACTCCTCCTCAGCTTTCCGGCAGCTCGCCCAGCGCTCCGAGGGAAACTCAGTGAGCCAGAGTTCACCTGGGTTTGTCAGCCCCCAGGGGAATCTGTTTGCTCTGTGTGCTTCCTTTGTCATTCTGCGGGAACTGGGTCAGCTTTTCAAGAGTGAAAATGTCAGAGGGATAAAGAGGCTCCCTTGAAAAGATCTTTTCCAACGCAGAAAGGAAGCATCTCAGCATACCCCTTAAATAACAACATACAGCCTGACAGCCTTGCTTCCGACCCAAAGAAAGAAAAGAGGCCGAGAAAACGCTGGGTAACATTTACACACACACCCCTTCACTCGGGAGACAGCTGGACTGGGGCTGTGTCATCCCAAACACTGAATTAAAGGAACGGAAACATCAACTCTGTGGAATCTTTTGGATGGCAAACTAGGCTAGCAAGCAGACAAAGGAAGGCTTTCAGCAAAAGCCCCGATTTTTTTTAAATTGTAGCATACTTGGACCGTAAGGCTGCTGCCCCGAGAAGCATGGATCTGTGACTCCTGGGGAGAAGCCCCATCCAGGCCGCTGTCTCCCGCAGACCCCAGCACAAACAGAAGGTCCCTGTGGAGGGCGGCGACCTGTGACTGCACTGGTCCATTCAGTGGTTCTAGAAAGATGCCCCCACTGGTGAAATTGATTTTACCATATTCACTGGGCTGTTAGGAAGATAAATATTGCAACAGTCTGGCTGAAAGAATCCTAGGAAGCATTGATCATGAGGTTACTTGCGATGTGGGAGCAGGCTTTAAAAAGACTTAAGCCCAATTCACCAGCATATATATGCTGAATTCCTTCCAAATTACAAAATCATTCACAATGCCCCCAAGTTGAGCAGCACTCTCAGCGAAATACATCATCACCCCAACAATCCAAACTCCCATAACTAGCAGAATTGATTATTAGTAAGAGTCTATGGCCAAAAGACACTTACTTCTTAAGAGGAAAGTTATGACCAACCTAGATAGCATATTAAAAAGCAGAGACATTACTTTGCCAACAAAGGTCCATCTGGTCAAGGTTATGGTTTTTCCAGTGGTCATGTATGGATGGGAGAGTTGGACTGTGAAGAAACTGAGCACCAAAAAATTGATGCTTCTGAACTGTGGTGTTGGAGAAGACTCTTGAGAGTCCCTTGGACTGCAAGGAGATTCAACCAGTACATCCTAAAGGAGATCAGTCCTGTGTGTTCACTGGAAGGACTGATGCTAAAGCTGAAACTCCAATACTTTGGCCACCTCATGCAAAGAGTTGACTCATTAGAAAAGACCCTGATGCTGGGAGGGATTGGGGGCAGGAGGAGAAGGGGACAACAGAGGATGAGATGGCTGGATGGCATCACTGACTTGATGGACATGAGTTTGGGTAAACTCCGGGAGTTGGTGATGGACAGGGAGGCCTGGCGTGCTGCAATTCACGGGGTCTCAAAGAGTCGGACACGACTGAGCGACAGAACTGAACTGAACTGACAGCCAAATCACCCTGAACACACCCGATCTCATCTGATTATTGGTAAGAAACAAAGGGAGGGCATGCTGGTGGTGTTGCTCTTAGGGTCTCAGCCAGTGTTTGTTTTTTTTCTCTTATGCACCATGATATGATATGTAATACAGTATCAGCAAGTTGATGAAAAGCCCGTGTGTCAGGATTTCTCCAAAGCTTTGGCAGCAGGGGCTGTTTTCAAAAATATCCATGTCTACCCTCTGTGTCCAGTGTAAACACAGTGGAGATAAACACCAAGATTTCATAGAGCAAGTAAGAGAAAACAAAGGTGTCTTAATTCCAACTGAATTATCTGGAATAACAAGGAATTATAAGAGGTCATACCAAGTCCTGGCCATGCCTGCGAGGCAGATCTGGGAAGTCTGTGACAGACCTGTGCATCCTGGGCTCTGGTATCCTCATTTCAATACCACCTTTCAAGACAGCCTATCATTGCCCATCCTTAACCCAAGTCTTATTAATGATGCATGATGTGCTACTGCCTCAAAAGCTGACCATGTGAGCATCTACTATTTCTCAAACCTAGATTCATGTAAGAATTAGCTGAGGAGCTTTTTAAAAGCAAAGATCCTGGGCTGCAGATTCCTGATGGGATAGGATTCGTACTTCTCAGGTCTGGATGTTTGGGAACATTTCCTGAGCAAGTACGCATTAGCATCATATCAGATCCCTGGACAACATGACAGATGGGAC